GCTTCAAATGTCGGCGAAGATAGCACAGCAGCTGCTTTGGCCAATATAAAGCGTGAGCCGAGTCCAGCTGTAAGTAGTCCAGGTACGAGACATCAAAGTGGCGGTAATCAAAATAATACTCTGGGTTGTGGTGGTGGTGGCGCAGAGAGGAGTCCAATGAATATGCCGTAGGCGTAGGAAGATAGAAAGTTTCGGCATACATTTTAGGTTAAGTAGCAATTTTCTACTTTTTCTTTAGTATCAATATTTATTTGTTATTTTTTTAATCAGAAGCAGCTTTATTATATAAACACCCATTTTTCTTTTGAAAGTAGCATTAAGCTACTGTTAGTTATAGGGCTTTAGATATTTTTATCATACCAATTGATCCCATCGTTAGCCCCGGCTGTGATAATTAGTGGAAACATTTTAATTTTTTTCTTTGTTTCAATTACTTTTTAATTGTAAATTTAATATTTAATAGATAACTTTATTCAGTCTTTATTTCACTTTTTGACTAATTTCCGCAGTTAAAATTTCACCCAACTTATTTTAACATTCACCTTCACATTAAAAACGAGTTTAGCCGTCATTGTCTTAAAAATTTAATATTGAATTTCATATATAATTTAAGCACAAATGCGATAGAATAAAGTAGGAGAGCTCAAGAGGGGATTCGGGGATTTACTCGAGCGCGTCAGATTAACATATGGGGGATACAGTGCATCCTGTTGAGTACCTCTGCCAAATCTAAGCCAACTGTGTTGAGCCGCGCGCATAGGACAGCTCATCAGAAAAGTAAAAAAAAAATGGTAGGTGGATTTACTCGAGCGCATCAGATTAAGAAATGGTGGGTTAATTAATTACATGCTGAAAAGTCTGCAATTCAATAATCTGACGATTTGAGCGTGACGCAAGGGATTGGGAGGGTTGCAAACTTGCAAAAAAAAACGTTACCTTGACATTCTCGAGCGCGGTAAATTTTTTTTTTATTATGAAGCAAACAGCTGAAGGGCAATGGGAAGTATATAATCTGGCGGCTTCCACAAGTGGGAGTAACAAAAACCGTCAACAAAGATTGTCGCGTGCACCTGCTGCTTCTCAAAACTACTACAGATTTTTTTACGAGATTTGTTATTTTTTGAGTTGTTTACTGTTTTCCGTTCATATTATTTGTCACAATCATATGACTGAAAGTATACCCAATGGAACAAATGCTCGCAAATGAAAGCAGTTGCGAGTGAAATGTGAGAATTAACACAAATAAACTCTCGCTAAAAGCTCAAACAGTCAACGACGTAGGTTGACGCAGACACGATCTACCTTATGGAATTCGCGTGTTAACGAAAACTCACCACCGCATGGCGTTGACAGTGCCGTTGCTTCTCTCTCTCTATCAACAGTAAATTTGATATGTTGCTACGTACGTCAACATACGCTTACGCTACGTCGTTGACTAACTGCGCTTTCAATTTGATATGCTCCTACGTACGTCAACCTACGTTTACGCTACGTCGTTGACTAACTGCGCTTTCAATTTGATATGCTCCTACGTACGTCAACCTACGTTTACGCTACGTCGTTGACTAACTGCGCTTTCAATTTGATATGCTCCTACGTACGTCAACCTACGTTTACGCTACGTCGTTGACTAACTGCGCTTTAAAGGTCGGTCCACATAGAACCACAGTATATCCCTCTAGTAGGCTGAACCGCCTCCAGGCGGTCGTTAACTAAACACCTTTTTAGTGTACCTATAATAATATTTTTTCTATATTTGTAAGGCACGATCTTTAAACAAAAATCGTGCCCTTACGGCGAAGTAAATTTTAATCCGTTATGTCAATCCGTTTTATTTTAATCGGCAGTTGAATTACGGATTGTGAAAGACACGATTAAAATTAATTATTTCTTGCTATTTAGTAATTTGGTAATTAAAGAAATTTTTTCTTTTAAACAATTTTTTGATATAAAAAAATTCGGTGGATTTCGTAGTTAAAGTACCCTATTTTGATATAAGTGTTATAATTATGTCCCCAATCGAAATGGACAAAATTGCTTTCGAACACAGACCGTCTACGGACCGGCTTGCCGACATATAAAAACCCAGTTTGCATTTTTGACCGTCTGCAGACGGGATTGCCGGTTCGTAGGTCAACATTGTGTAAGAAAAAGCTGAAAATACGTCAAAGTATATCGGCGAGCCCGTCTCCAGACGGTTTTTCTCCCCTGTAGGAAAAAGTTACTGTCACAGATCGAAATGGACATCATTTTTGGATTTCACGTGCTAAAATCACCCATTCCTGAATTTTTCAACTCATAAAAAATTGGCCTACTAGAGGGGTATAGAGTAATAAACCTTTTTGAGTACTACTCGGGAGTAAAATCTGATCAGGATTGATAATGAGAAGGAGCATAAATTTTGTTGATTCAAAGTTGTATACAAAATTACTGTGGTATGAAAGGGAGTAACAACCATACTATAGCAGTGTGGCACAAGTCATGACTGTGTAAACGCCTGATTATGGCAACTTAACTTAATTTAACGGAACGTAGAACTTAGAGAATCAAAATGAAACAGATTATTGCAAATTATTGTCTATTATTATAGATACTTGTACAGCTTATCATAGTTCAGTGTATAACTTGTTATATTTCACCGTACATGATAATGAACTGTTAAATGCTGAAAACGCTAGTAACTTTACGTGAAATGCAGCTCCGGTTCACATTCTTTGACGATTCTCCGAGTGGTGAACTTCTATTTCTCTTAGAAATTGCGAGAAGAGAAGGTGAATTTGTAAATAAACACTTTTATTATAACTTTAATAGATAATTGCTATTTATTTTCAATATTCAGATATCCAGCTTTGTGGCCAGAGGCAGTGATGTTAAGTATTTTTGAGGTGCTCCGGGTAATGATCTCTCAAACTTGGGTGTGCTTAATAAACTGTCTGGGCGGATGCGCTGGCAGGAATTGGGGTCCGTTTAAGTGCGTCTACGATTACGATTACTTTAATCCCAGTTTCAAAATAGTTTGAATTAGGATTGGAATAAGCGTAAATCGAAGGAGTATTAGATTAAAATTATATTCTCATTTCTATTTCAATTATAGCCAAAAATTACTTTTTTAACTTATGTATGTGAATTTTACTAATTTCTTAGCTAAAATCGCAAGACATAAGAATTTGTATGTAAGAAAAATACACATTTTTTAGATAATTTTAAATTCAGCAACCTTAAGTTTACTTATACATGAAGAAATTTGGAACTCCGCTCCCTTCTTGCTCACTCTTTATATAGTATCAATGGACTGTGTGTCCCCTTACTCCTTTCCGTCCGCCATCTTGCAATCATGGGCGCTCAAAGCACTCGTGGTGTTACATGAAATATACACCCCTATTTTGTAACACTTTCATATTCGGATTTTGCTACGAATCGTAGAAATAGTATGCTGCAATCCAAATCGTATTTTCGAACTTTCGAAATTCGTAACAACGGCATGCCTAAAATCGAGTGAGTAAGCTTTTTGCTTTTTTGTACGAAAACAATTCTGTATATTTTTATCCCTTGCTGTATATAAACGAGTAAAACAGAATCTTTGTTGCCCCTTATCGAGAAACTTGGCTCCGCTTTAGTTATTTGTACAATGATTTTCGGTTGTTGTCTCCAAACGCATAATCCGAATCCAAAAACTTTAACATCACGTGTAATCAAAGGATTAAAATTTTATTTAAAATAGATGTTTCAAATTTCCGAGCACTATCTTATTAATAAATTCGGTTTTCACTATGTACTTTTTGCAAATTTCGACGTGGGTTCTGCGCAAAAATAATAAATAAAAAAAAATGTGGATGGCGTAGCCGGAGTGATGTGCACAAGAAGTGTTGTATATCTTTGACGTGCGCAAGCCCCTCTTCTCCGACAACACAGAAAGGAGAATTCTACTCAGTAAGGGTTATAATCCTTAAGTGCGGCCGAAGGCAGAAGCAAGTGCCACAGGTGGTGGACCTAACATAGTGCATGTTTTCAATGGCTTGGACGAAGCTGTTATTGCATTAACTGGATTGAGAACCAGTTCTTCAGGCATAGGAGTAGTTCTGGCTTGTGGTTCAACCAGAAACTGACAGACGCGCCCATGGTTACTATGCCCGACAGCTCCGCATATCTTTGTGCAATCATTCCCATAGCGCGCTCTTACTCCGCTGCTATAATTGAAAAAACCAATAGAATGCACCGTTTCCTTCAAAATATGTAAAATCAAACAAATTTACTATAAATAAGCACTTCATGAGCGTTTTTTAATTCCTTTCCGCTTTGTTTTCCTTCCTTCAGCTATCTTCGTAAAACAACTGATAGCTGGCAATGCTGCATATGTTTCCGCAAGGGTTGCAGCATGTGGATTTTTCGTTTTTCGTAGCGTAGTTACGAATTACGAATTACGAAAATTCGGGTTCTAGAATAAGGAGGATAACCTTTGAACTTGGACTAACTAAATTGTGAGATTCATGATGAGTGGAAATGGTTTTTGGGTGTTGTGTGGATCAAATTCTTGTCAAAAAACTTTTTGGACTATTCTATTAAGTTCAGATATAATACCTTGTAAATTCTCGAATAACACACTTTTCATTTAATATGTCAAAAAATATTGTCAATTATTTCTTGTTACAGATGGGGAAAATGTAGAAGAAATTGACGACCAAGTCGAACCGGACACGCTGTATAATAGTTGCACGGATAAAATATTAAGTGTTTACAGTAATATATGTTTGGTTGACTGTGCATCTCAGAAACGAAATTATTTTTTTTTTTACCGTCAGACTAAGAAAACCCCTCCAGATAATCGTCAGATTATGGAACAGCACGACCAGGGCAACGAGGTGAACCTTCTGTATGAAAATCTGACACGCTCGAGTAAATACAAATGGCGTTTTTTTCTGGATCTTCAAGAAGACGCCACGTGCTTGCATCACATCTGAATCGTCAGATTATTGAATGAGGGCTTCATTCGGGCCCTTTTAACATCCCTTGTGAATATCTGACGCGCTCGAGTAAATTTTTTTGTCACCCATTTTTACCTTTCCGTACGCCACCGCCCACCATGCAAACCGGCTGATTAGCATATCTCCATCATCAGAAACACGTTTGATTTATTCACTATCAATATCTGACGCGCTCGAGTAAATCCTTTTAACTGTTTTTTTTTTTGTACATTTTTGGAAGCGTGTAGATGCTCCACCCACCGCTGTAAGGAAAAACATCACATGACCTTTTTTTCCTCCCATCACATAAACTTTAAAAATCCAATAGGTCAAAATGACACTCGAGTAAATCCCGGTTTAGCATCGTGGGCTCCCCTACAACAACAATAGTTTTTTTACGAGGATGAACTGATATAAGAAATCGCGCTGACTACAAAAAACTGCGCCATTAGTTTCATAGTTTTCCATATTTGCAAAATTCATGCCACCCGTCGGCGGCCATGCACCTCACCTTCTTCGTTAAATCGCTTCTGTGCTATAATTAACACTTTATTTTGCTGCACTTTGCTACACAGCACATTTATTTGCTATTCCACACAAAATAATACACGAAAGGATACTTTTGCACACTTTATTTGATGAAATTACAAATTTCACAACTCACACGTATAACGCTTTTTGCCAACGAAAGGAAGCGGAAAACGGAACGTTGCAGCAGTGCTGCCATACGCGAGGAGTTAAGAGAGTGCATGGTTGCATTTCCTGTGAGAATATTAGAAAATGTATGGTAGATGTTTTTCGTTTCTAATTGAATCGCCAAAACTATAAATGTATTTAAGACATTAATTATAAACTTCTTTATTTAACATTTAAGAAAAAATTCTAGTCTCCCTGTTGTTTTATATTTTAACGTACCAAGCTAGTGTCAGATTAAATTGATATTGGAGGCTTCTTAAAACAAATGAATATTATAAACACTCTTGTAATTTATGAAAAAAAATGACAGCAAAAATATTAAGAAATAAAAAACTTTTAAACTTATTTTAAGAAAATGTAAAGCACACTTTTTGGTAAAAAAATTAGTACACTCAGTACTAAGCAAACAAAAAAATATTTGCAAACTAAAATTTTTGTAAAATATATGATTAAACAATTTTATTATTTCCTTTAAATAAAAAAAAAACATTTTACTAACACACAATTAAAAGAAAACAACAATGTCATTGTTATAGCAAGTGCAGTTATCTAGAAAGACACTGATCATTTATGAACAAATACACTAAATACACATACACTGATGCACTTTCACTATACATCATACATACATACATACATACAAGCATTAGCCAATTAGCAAGATCTTTCAAAATTAAATGTAGTAATTTAGGCTGTAAGTTAAAAAGGCACATTTTTATACAAAAAAAGATGACTTTTATACACAAACAACACACACAAAAAGACAATAATATATTTAATGTTTTCAATTTTATATAAAAATTATTTAATAAATATACGAATTTTAGAGTAAAAATATATGAAGCGAATTTCATTGAAAAGCAGTGGTAAAACAATAAGAATATAAATTTTTGAGAAACAATTACGTAAAAATAATGTTTTTTAAAGAATTTTTTGTAACCCTCTATCTTCCAAAAAAACGAGCGCTGACGCTACAATTTTTCGATAGCCATTTCTATCACCCTGTATATGTAAACTTGCGAGCCTAAAAGCAGGCAACACTCACTTGTCGATTTAACCCGTGAGTGGACGCTCGAGAATTGTGCGGACCGCACCGAGTCAAGTAAAGGCATGGCTAAAGAGACTTACCTCATTTATTAAAAATTTATAATAAATAAATAACACTAAAAATTTATGTTTTTTTCTGAAAAATATTTTCTTATTTTAGTTTGCTCTCACATATTCGCACGCATGCACGAGAATATTATACAAAATGTTACGCAAAATCAATTCATTTCCAATTTATTCTTTCGTTGAATGCAAATAAATAGGGATGTTCAGGATGTGGATATAGTCTTGGGTTTTTCTCTTGGAAATGCATTTACAAATTTTTTGCTTGCTGCCATGGCAACCGTGTGCATTTTATTGTTGTGAATTTACAAATGCAACGAACATGCAAATCCAAGAGCATATGCACAAGATCCTGAACAGCCCTAATAATTTTGATGTGTGTATTACAAATATGATAAATAAAAGTTGTTTTTCATATTTATGTATCATGTCAATGCCTACACATCGTTTTGTTTTTATAAATTGCCAAACATTTCAATGCAGCCAATATTTTTGACTGCAAAAGGATTTAGTAAGTCGAAATAACGGTACAATTATATTTTAAATACAAGAGTACTGTATGTAAATAGATGCGCGGACAATAACTACTTGTGTCTTTCATAACATTGCTCTTATAGTTGATTAAATAAAATGCATTATTCAGATATTTTTCAAAGAAGTACATAAGTGGGTTGTTAGTGTTAATTTTACGAAAAAGCAGAGATGATTAAAACATTTTTAGACATTAAAACGTCTGTCACTGTAGGACTTAATAAGATGGGGCATGAAAAGAGTAATACAAAAGAAAACGCATCTAGTTGGCAGCTGTTAAAGCAGTAATTTGTAACTACATTAATTTGTGTTGATGAAGATGAGCGCATACATGGCCGGTGGGGTCGTTGACGTTAAAGGACCGACGGCAGCACTATTTGGCGTCGTTGTGTTAGCGTATAAAAATTAAGGTATATAAATATCTTTGGAGCCCACAAACGACTTGCTACTGCTATATGTATACATATATTATACTGTTTATGAAACTAGGCGGCGGCTGGAGCAGGGTTAGTCATAATCAATTAATTGTAGTCGTTGCATTTTTCTGCGCTTTTCGAGCTGCAAACGCATTTAAGTTTAGAACTTAAATAGTTTCGACTTCCCATACTTTGGTGTTGCAATCTTGACCAGTTGAGATCACAGTATTATTGTCCAACCACACTAAGCGCGTAATTTGTGATTGTGGATGTGCATCTAAAGGAGAAAAGAAATTGATATGCAAATTAAATAATTAATTTCAAAAACTACGAAAAAGTACGCACTTTTAATTATGGTATGCTTGGCCGGATTGGTCACAGACCAAATAATGATAGTCGTATCCAATGAGCCACTAGCAACCAAAAGCGAATTAGGTGACCAGGCGACCGTATTGACGCGCGCATTATGGAAGCCCCATTCCTTATTGTGCGCCAGCTAGAAGATACAAGATAACTTTAACAGATTTTCAATAATTTATAATGCTTTCTCATTTTCTCACTTTATATTCCTCCACAGCATATAGTATGACTTTGCGATTCGCATCACATGCCACCAAATACTTATTATCGGGCGAATACACACAATCGGTGACGGGTCCCAAATGCTGCAGCTCGGTCTTCTCTTCCAACGTGGTACCCTTCAGCGAGTAGACATGCACCTTATGATCATCGCCAGTTACCGCTACATCCAATGTTTCGGGATTGGCAGAAATTGAGCTTGCCTCATACTTGATGGGCAACGATAATACCTTCTTATTGTCCTGCACAAGTGTTAATTCCTTGACGCAAGCTAAAGCTATGATATTTTCATTCCGGAGAATGGCTAAACCGCGTGGTTGGCAATTCAATTTGACAACATAATCGGTGTAAGTGTTGCCTTCGATGCTAATTTGACGCAGGCTATCGTCGATGCCGCAAGTGTAGACGTAATCGCCCCATGCAGCAATGCCGTTGATCTGCAAAAGTGGAAAGATTAATTGATTTACTTAAGAAAAAATAAGAACTTAAATGTAAAGTAGAGAGAATTATAAATTTAAAGAACAGTATTAAAAATGATGATTTTTATACCTTTCATGAGCATGAAATGGTATTATGACTCTGGTCCGATGTTTGTAAATACCAGAAAAAAAGAGATAGACCCATTAAAATGTATACTTAAATGATCAGAACGTCGTGCTGAGTCGATTTAAACATGTCCGTCTGTCTGTCTGTCCGTCTGTGTGTATGCAAACTAGTCTCTCAGTTTTTGAGATATTCGGATGAAATTTGGTAGGTGGGTGTAGNGCAAGCTAAAGCTATGATATTTTCATTCCGGAGAATGGCTAAACCGCGTGGTTGGCAATTCAATTTGACAACATAATCGGTGTAAGTGTTGCCTTCGATGCTAATTTGACGCAGGCTATCGTCGATGCCGCAAGTGTAGACGTAATCGCCCCATGCAGCAATGCCGTTGATCTGCAAAAGTGGAAAGATTAATTGATTTACTTAAGAAAAAATAAGAACTTAAATGTAAAGTAGAGAGAATTATAAATTTAAAGAACAGTATTAAAAATGATGATTTTTATACCTTTCATGGGCATGAAATGGTATTATGACTCTGGTCCGATGTTTGTAAATACCAGAAAAAAAGAGATAGACCCATTAAAATGTATACTTAAATGATCAGAACGTCGTGCTGAGTCGATTTAAACATGTCCGTCTGTCTGTCTGTCCGTCTGTGTGTATGCAAACTAGTCTCTCAGTTTTTGAGATATCCGGATGAAATTTGGTAGGTGGGTGTAGTTTTATAATGCATTAATCATTTGTCGGAACCGGAAGAATCGGACCACTATAGCATATAGCTCCCATACAACTGATTGTTCAGATATGTGATTTTTCGTTATTACTCCTCTATTTAAGTAGCTAGGAACATGAAATTTCGCACTGCTGTCACTCATTATCAAAAGATTACTTTCAGTGAAAATGGCGAAGATCGGGAGCTATAACCTATAGCCTCCATACAACTGATTATTCAAATGANCTGTCACTCATTATCAAAAGATTACTTTCAGTGAAAATGGCGAAGATCGGACGCTATAACCTATAGCCTCCATACAACTGATTATTCAAATGAGGTTTTTTGCCATAACTTCTCCAGTTATGCAGCCAGGAAGATGAAAATTCGCACCGTTTTCACTCATTCTTAACAGAATACTTACAGTGAAATTTACAAAGATCGGGTCGCTATAACATATATCTCCCATACAACTGATTGTTCAGATATGGGCTTTTACTGTAAAACTCCTTTATTTGGACTGCTAAAACCGACAAATTTTGTAAGCTATTTTATAAATAACAATACAGTGTACTGAGAAAATCGTTGTTTTTGTTGTTGTAGCGGCTACAACAACCCCACCCAGGACGGTTGGTATCTCAGTCGTTGTCGTCAAGTTCCACTAACGGCAACCCTAGGAAGCGTGCAGCTTCTGTGGGGTTTGTCCACAGGCAAGGCCGTTAGGGTTGTCGGATTTTCCGGGCATGCGAAGAGATGTTTCGAGTCATGTGGGGTTTCTCCGCATGCCGGACACTCATTCGGCACATCCTCATTCAACCTACACAGGTAGGAGTCAACCTGCTGCAGTAGCCGGAGCGAAGTTGTGCAAGTGTTGTGCGGGTCTCCCGAGGCAGATGAAGCTCCGTCTCGTCTATGTCCGGGGGTGGTATGCCTAGAACGGCATTCACAGGTCTAGAGTCTACATAACTCGAGACTGAGTCCCAGTGAATGCCGTTCAGGCCTGTCGGTACTGTCGGGTCCAGAGGTTGCTTGATGAACCTCTGGACTTCGTCTGTCAGTTCATATATATGCCTCCTGACGTGCCTAGGCGAGGGCTCCTCTGCAAGCAGCTGTCTGCTTGGGTGGCCACTTCTGTGGCTCCCGATCAGGAACTGCTTGCAGAGCATTATATTGTGCTCCTTTACGGGGAGCATTTGCGCCTCGGCCGTGTAGATGGTGTTCAGGCGACATTAGGAGGCATCCCGTCGCTGTCCTGAGTGCGGTGTTCTGTACAGTCTGTAGCTTTGTCCACTGCGTCCTACTAGTCCCTGGCGACCAAACTGGCGCTGCGTAGTTCAAAACCGGCCGGCCTATTGCCTTGTATGTTGCCAGCAACGTTTCTTTGTCTTTGCCCCAAGTACTGCTGGCTAGCGACTTGAGGACCTTGTTGCGGCTCTGTACTTTATTGACAATAGCGTTGAGTGCGCAGAGAAGGAGAGCAGGCTGTCGAATGTTACTCCGAGTTTTGTATTCGTGGAATGTGTCATCGACGTGAATCTCCAGCGGTAGCCTGACCTCCTTCGTCCAGGTTGTGAACAGGGTCGCGGAGGATTTCGTAGGGGAGAGGGCTAGACACTTTGCAGTGAAGAAGCGAGAAAGTTCGGAGAGATAGCCGTTTACTTTCGAACACAGGTCATCAATTCCACTCCCAGTCGCCATGATCGAGCAATCGTCGGCATAGGAGACAATCGAGACTCCCTCTGGTGGTTGAGGGAGATTTTGAAATGTAAAAGTTAAACAGTAGCGGGGAAAGACACCACCTGAGGAACCCCCTGTTTTATTTTTCGCTGTTACCGTTTTGTCTGTAAACATTACCGACGAATGTCGACCCTCAGATAATTTGCCGACCACCGTTTGAGCCTCTGTGGGAGAGAGGAGGCCTCTATATCTTCTAGTAGCGTGGAATGGCAGAGGTGTCAAACGCCTTTGACAAGTCCAACGCTACTAGAATCGTTCTCTCACAGGGACGGTTTCGGTTAAGGCCACGAGTTATCTGAGTGTTTATGGCGTTAAGTGCTGTTGTTGTACTGTGCACTTTACGGAAACCATGCTGATGCTTCGCTGGGGTCAAGTGGTTTGTGAAGTACGGGAGTAGCAAGGCCTCGAGTGTCTTCGCTACCGGGGAAAGGAGTGTTATCGGACGATAAGAATCTCATTTGTTGGCAGGTTTCCCCGGTTTGAGCAGTGGGACCACTCTCCCCACCTTCCAGATGTCTGGGATGATGAGAGTGGAACTTGACAACTGATTCTTAACTAATTTCAAAAACAATATTTTCTATATTCACCTGATTGCCATGCCCCGTGCCGCCGATGCGGTCATTCACGCCACTACCCGAATTCCAATTCGTTACCACACCATCATGACTGCCAGTGTAGATGGTGCTGCGATCGTCGCTCAACCCGAGCACGGTAATGGGTTTATTGTGGCCCTTAATGATGCGCAATGGTTTCGTTGGATCATCGACATTCAAGTAACTAATGTTACCCGACAATGATACGGTCATCAAATGTGCACCTTGCCATAGACAAGACACTTGCTGATCATCGACGGTGGTACCCATAACGAATTCACTAATCAGCTCACGTGTTTCCACATTCCACAAACGGCAAGTCTTATCACCAGAGCAAGTAAGTAACTGTGTGCTATCTGGCTTCCATGCTACAGCATAAACACCACCCTTATGCGCAGGGCTACCAATTTCACCAACCAATTCCGAGCTAACGCCATCGTAAAGGAAGACTTTGCCATCAAAACCGGCCGAGGCAAAGTACTTACCATCGGGCGAATAGCGTACGGCTTGAACGAAGCGCGAATGCTCCTGTTTGGTCATTTTGAATTTGAATGGTGGACCTTCGAAGACGCCGATGGTGTTATCTTCGCTACCTGTGTGGGGAAAAGGGAAGCCAATAAGATTTAACTTTTTTTTTTGGTATACTCTAACTTACCAGTGACAATACGAAAGGGACGCGCTGGCCGGAAATCGCATGAATTAATGGGTTTCGATTGCCCGCTAATCTCACCGACGGACGTGCCGGTTTCAGTCATGAAAACATGTCCGAAACGCTCGCGTCCTTCGCCCACAATGACAATACGTTGATTGTCTGCCGACCATGCGATATCCTTAATCGGACCGCCGATCGGTTGAAATTCATTCTTCAATATATGCTCCTTGTTCACGGTATCCCAGATCCGAATCTTGCCAGAGGCGTCTGAAAGGAGGATGAAAGAAGAATTGTTTTCTAGTAATATGCGTTTTAAAGAGTTGAAATTATATTTATTTATCTATTTATTGGTGTGTCTTTATCAATCGCAGCACAAGCGGTGCCATTGATAACCTGCTTATCGATGCAAAGCAATCGAGAATGTAAAATATACAAATTTAGCATTTAATTAGCCCTCAAATGCTAGCGAATTTTCACAAGTTCATATGTTTTTGTCCTAACGCCACCAGCGAGGGGAAAATGTGCAGGTAAAGACACACCCATTGTAAGCTGCATAAATGCTACTTAAAGGGAAGGTAAAAAACTACAGCAAATCTGAAGCCAATAGCGGACGTTGTGAATGTAGTTATCTGTGTAGTAGATAATATAATGGTCATTAACTAATACCTCTGAGGCCATAAACAGCGTTAAAACTACACGCTGACTTATATTGATGTTCATGTTCGCTTGTGACTGTATACCAGCAGTCGAACTACGTTGCCTTTAATGGCTGCATACGTGTGATTTTGTTTAACAAAAGTGTTAACTAAATATTTTACTGTAAAATTGCAATAAAAAATGAAAATAGCTACTGAAAGCATTGAATGGCTGAGTAGTAACTTCATCCAACAACACAAAAATATAGCATAAACACCGAATGAATCATTGAGAAACAAAAAAACAAAGTGCCAGCAGCTGAAATACAACAAAGATAACCAACCTAGCCGTAAGCATTAGCAATAAAAGAATAGTGGCTACAAAGCGTAGACGACTGTGATTCAAAACGGCGACGCCTAAGTGGCTAAGTGACGCTGCTACTCATTTTGCTTTTACTAAAAACACTCGCCAGCATCTGTGCTGATTGCGGCTTACAATTATCAAGCGTTTTATGCTGGCTGAGCAGTGATAATGTGCAATATGGTAAGGTTACAGTAAACAAAAGGCAAACAAGTGGAAAGGGGCGGACGCGTCTGCAGCAGAGATAATGAGATATGAGCTAAAATGTAAAACACTTTATAGATATGTTGGTGTATGAAAATAGGGTACACAGAAACGCACCACTTGTTTTTAAGTAGCAAAAAGCACGCCCAATCCTACAACAACAATCGGGTCTACACAAAATTTGGCGAGTAATAATCGTTAGCACAGCTGCAGTAATGCAATACTGATTATGTACTTTAAAATAGAAAAGAGAAAGGCTTGAAGGCTGACTGACTGGGCGTTGCAGCAAAAAAAAAAGAAAAAAAAAGATTAAAAACAAAAGCGTCTACTGTGTAGCAACTCTGTTTAGGAGAGCGTAACGGCTGCATCACAAAATAAATAAGAAAAAAATCCAAACGCAAAAATAACGGAAAGCAGATTAAGGCCATGTTATCATGAGAAAGACAAAGCATACAAGCATTAAATTGCATTAGGAATGTTAAAAAAAATAGGTCCGACGGCTTCGGGACGATATTGGGTTTGATCGTTGTACTGAATAATGAGGTTGTTCCCGATTGCTGGTCAAATGCATAACGATTCTGATTATCCGAGGCAACAAAATTGAAATTAACATAAAATTTTCTAAAACTTAAGTTAAAAATAAATTTAATTTTTCCGTTGAGAAATATTATTCACTTTTTAATAAGAATATTCCGAGTGAAATTATAGTGTTCGAAATTTCAATATTTTTTTGGGATGCCCCTAATAGACATCGCCTTTCTAATTTTAAACCTAAGGCTGCGTTTCTTTATACATTCCAGATAATCCCATTTCACAGCCGAAATAAACAGAACGAATTTGAAATATACGTTAACATATCTTCCGGAACGTTCTAAAAAATAAGTAAACAAAAAAGTTTATTCCAAACGTTCAGAATGAATAAAGAAATGCAGTCTAAGTAAATCAAAATTTCAAAACAAACAAAAAAGGCAAACAAGCCTTTTTTTGTGTTAAATGAGTATTTAAAAAAATACAAAATACTTAAAAAGTTTCGAGGAATAAATCTGGATCATTCCTGTTACTATTTTGGTCAAATTGAACATTCTGTTAGTCCTTATGTAATTTTTTTCTATAAGTTACTAAGTAATTTTTTCTTTAAGTTACTAAGTAATTTTATGATAAAATATCTAAATATTGAATTTTGTGTTTGGTAACTTTATTTTTTGCTTTAAATACCCTCGCTTTAAAAACTCGGCATAAAAAACTAAATCCCGCAGTTTACCAAAATAATGCAAATAAACGGCAACTAGTCACCAAACATTTGCGATATCTCTCTTACGAAACAATGTGCATTAATAAAATCGTGAATCACCACGAAATTTCGAATGAAACGTGTAGATAATTATATAAACAGCCGTATATACCAAATATGTCGTTAACTCGCTAACTTTGTGCAAAACAGCAACAAATACGCCACCTAATATTATAAAAGCCTGTAGATTACCAAGCGAGTGTTAATCACATTAATAAAAACTGGACTTTTTTCTTGCATCACTTCACAATCGTTGTCGTAGTTATCTTTGTTTAATGTTTTCAAACGCAGCTGTGATGCTGCGTGATACAAATGGTATTTAATGGATATTTTTAGTGCACATAATGTGCATTATAACAACAAAAGCAACAATACTTAACTAATGCGGCGCACTAAATACTTAAATACATATTTGAAAAAGAAGACAACGAAAAAATTATAGAAATCACTGCATGTTTTTGTACTTACCGCCTGAGGCAATGTAGAATCCACTTGGCGAATATTTGGCCACATTGACGGCACACGAATGCTCTGTGTAGACATCAGCAATGGCTGGATTCTGTTAGCGACAATCAGTGCATATAGCCAAGATAGTCAGCCGCAATACCAAAGAGAATGTATTAAAAGCAACACAACAGCACAAAGGCAACAAAAATCAAAATTTCGAGGTAGTGGAAAATTCGGTTGGTTGATAGAATTGTACAGGCCGGCGATTTTTCGTGTGTATACACCAATGGGTTGTTGTTTGGTTTGTTGTTTGGGCGGGTTGGGTGTGCGCAAGCAGCAGCCATCGCCACATTTCATTTTAATTTTAGGCCAAAATATGTATGCGTTGTTGTTGTTATATTTTGTACAGAGTGTGTGATTTAGAAAAGTATCGAAGCAAACAAAATTAGCGGTGATAAATTAATGATGACAATGCGTACGTTGTTCCAACAGACAAAATTTTGCGAAATGGTGGCAGCCGGCATGGCGGAATTGGTGAAATTATGAAAAGAGAAAATAATAACTGCATATCACTTAAATTTTAATGGAAGTAAAATATTATGATATAATGGAATTAAAAAAAATTTCTATTATATTAAAAAGGAATACATATGTATAACTCACCTTGACTTTCTAATACATAAGTATGTAAATAAAAAATTTTTGTGATAACATATGTATATATTGGTATCACGTACATAGTACTAGTCTAAACTGAGTTGTAAACTAAATACTTTTTTTATTTAAAAAAATATTTTCCTGAAAATACAATCCATGATTTTTTTAAGGGTATTTTTAACTAAAAAATCCTTGAGAATGTTTGTCAATTTTAAATTGTAATGAAAACTACTTACAGCTCGTCTTTTACAGTTTTTCGAGCTTTTGGGAACACTCATAAATATTTTTAATAGTGGAATTAGAACAGAAGCCGGATTCCAACATTCGCTATTGCTAATTTTGATCGCTAAAAATCTCCAAAAGAATAGCAGTTATTTCTAACAACATGCAACATCTTGTTATATGGCCTTCATATTGCCAGATTCGGCTGATTATACATTACATCTGTTACTTTTCCATGTGGCCCCTCTGCTTTTCGTTTAGAGAATTTCGAAGACAAAAATTTAGCGTAGCGATTGTTAGAATTTCACTGCAGAAATCGATTACGCAATGCATTTATGAGCTAAACTTAAAATTTATACAAAAGAAATTTGTTTTGTTCGCCCCTTATCATCATAGAATTATGTTATGAACTACATACATATATACATATGTACATACAATCTATGTTTTGTTTTTAAGCAAAGGCAAAACCACTTTAAGATTTTAATAAATATTTACTAGCGGATCATGTAAAAACGTAATGCCCTTTTTTAATTAAACCACTATGCTCATGAAAATATGTTTTTCAATATAAAAGAAATTCTGTGGGGGTGGAGATTTGCTTGCGTTGGTGTATTGACGTTCTTGGCGTACATTTGTTTAAAATATGCGTGGGTTTTGTTGCTACACCCCAAAATATGTATTTGTTTTACAATTTGAATATTCTTTGCTGCCATCAAATCCACCGTTCTTCTCTGGCATGCTGGCTATTATATAGAAAACGATCTACGAAAAAGCGTACCACTTTCTCCTGTGCATGCACAACATTACTGCTGATGAGAAGACGCGGTTAAAAATAGTCGAAACAAATAAATAAATGAGACTGGGAACACCAATGGATTCAAAGTTGGAATGTTTGTCGGCTTGGCAGCGAAGCATTTAATAAATTTTCATTTGAATGCAGCTGCCAGAGTCCAAAAATAAATAATACAACAACAACATGAGCAGTAAATTTGAGATGGGCATGGGAATAGAATAGAGCTTGTGCATTTACCATCTGCCCATAAATCCCTAGTGGGAAAAATTAGTAGTAGATATTAATCCCTAGAGCAATAATTTTTGATGTGTTCTACATAAAAAAATGCATATTAATAAAATTTAGATATTTGTACAATGAATGACTCACCTCTATATTCCTGATAATCACCGAATTTCCATTGGTGTACAGGAAATTTTTTCCTTTAGGATCACCGCCCAGTACAATGGGTTGCCCGCGTTGGGTGCGTGGCAGGGTGGCGTATATGAATTCTGTATGGGAGTGAACACATATTATTGTCTTATTCTTTATTTTTTAGGTTTAATTTTAATTATTTATTTGCAATTTTATGCATGTACAATCAAACAGGGGGCGCTCAACAGGAAGTGGCGCGTTAAAAACACACACATACACACAAGAAGTAATCGCTATTACATGCACAGAGCTCCTGCGCTTTGGGCTAACTACTTAGGGGAAGTGTGCGACTGAATATCATTGCAGCAAAAGCCGGCAATGCGTCTACTATTTATGCTTCTACATATATGTCGATGTAGGTAATTCACTGCTTCCGCTTTATCTCTAGAAGCGCAATCATTTTTATTTTGCCCATATAAGCACATATAGTGCTTCAACGTCAACAGCGATTGTTTCCGCCGTCTAGTCCCACCACATCCTCTTGATCCAACTGGTATATTTTTTAGTTTTTTTTCCCCAAAAAGGTGACCGGCCAACTCACTGTTTTGATACGCTGGCTTTTGTGGTTGGGCCATTGTTGCTATTTCAATAAACCAAACACCGTACTAATTTGTACACTTTAAATAAACTAAAACTGCTTTTTTGATACAAAACTAATGTATTTAAGCTATTTTTTCAGTAAAAAGTTGACACCACCAAATCAGACCGAACAAAAGCGAATTAAATTTTTCTGCCTTGCCACAGTGCAGTGTTGCCGAAGACTGAATGAATTTTGCTGCGTACCAGAGTTGCCTGATGTAAAAACCAGAAAACTAAAAAAAATGTAGAGCTGCCACTCATGGCATATTCACTACCTGTCGATAGATGGCGCACAGTATTCTTGTCAAAAACAATTATGCTAAATTAAAAGGAAAATTTGTGCAAACATCTAGTATTTTTTATTACGACTTTCTCTTAAAAATATTGAAGGTTTGTGTGTATCTTGTTTTTATTAAAGCCATCAAAAAGCTTTCATCCAACTTTCGCAGACCTTTCTGTCGCTTCCTATAATTGATTTCACTTTCGGGACACTTTTTCTTCACAGTAACCCAACAGCTGATTTTGACAATCTGGTTTGATTACAGTTTTGGACCAATTGTAATTTTTTTTCCTTTTATTTTGTTAATAATCATGTTGCAGACACCTTCTGTAAAATTTGTGAATCCACGTTATGGTCAACTGGTCATTGGTCCACCTGGCTCTGGGAAAACTACTTACTGTCATCATGCATACAACTTCTACAAAGAATTGGGCCGCGATGTCGGCGTGGTCAATCTCGACCCTGCTAACGAGAACATGGAATACACACCAATAGTCGATATAATGCAACTCATAACTGTCGAAGATGTGATGGAGCAGTATCATCTAGGACCCAATGGCGCGCTTATGTACTGCGCCGAGTTCTTGGAGGCACATTTGGAAGATTGGTTCTTGCCCGAATTGCGCAAAGCTGCCGCAACATGCAATTACTTGCTTTTCGACTGTGCCGGACAAGTAGAGCTTTATACACATCACACCGCTATGGCCACCATATTCGAGCGACTGCAAAAGGAAAGTTATCATTTGGTGACTGTAAATCTTATCGATTCACATTACTGCTCAGAGCCGACGAAATTCGTCTCAACGCTGCTGCTCGCTTTAAATATGATGCTACGCATGGGTTTACCCCATGTGAATGTGCTCTCAAAGGCTGATTTGTTGCGAAAACATGAATCAAAGCTGCAATTTAATTTGGACTTCTATACAGATGTGCTGGACTTGAAATATCTGCTGGAGGCATTAGATGACACACCCTCAATGAAAAAGTATCGCAAGTTAAATGAAGCCATTTGCTCGATGGTGGAAGATTATGCATTGGTATCATTCCAACTGCTGAATGCGCGTAGCACAGCAAGTATGTTGCGTCTACGAAATCACATTGATAAGGCAAATGGTTACATCTATAAGGCCGGAGAAGAGACGGCGGTAAACTCTTTGATGGCTTGTGCAGTTGGTGCAGAGGCAGAAGCGATGCGGCAATGCAATGATATTGATCCATACGTGACGTGAGGTGTCAGAATGGTAGTTTAGGAGTAATGTGCGAGCATAAAATTAATTTTTATTTGTCCTTAATTTATAAGATTTTAGATTCACAAAATGTACAATATAAGTTTTGCAAGTAGCATAATTACAAATTAAAACTGCGTACTCGCTATTTCTGTGTCCTTTAAATGTAATCAAAGAAGATCGCAAGCGCCGTAAATCTAAGTTCGCATGAGTCAGATGACAATAACCAACAAGAAAATCTTCTTTGTTGACAAAATGCCAACTGCATGCGTTTAAATAAAATGGAAGACTTCGTTATTTGCTCAACCCAGTTCGGAAATTGCAAATTTGTTTTTAAATTTGTCAGCGCCTTCCAATCAAAAATCGCTTAACATTTGCCAAAACGAAATAAAAAGAAAATCCTGTCATTAAATGTAAATCTAGCCGTGGCACGATAGTAAGACAAGCGAGTACTCGCAAGATTACAATGTATTCAAGTTTCTTGCAGACACGTATACATGACCGAGTTGTCAGGAAGTCAGTCTTGTAGTCAGTCAAGCTGTCTTTAAATAAGTCAAACAGACAAACGGTTGGTGGGGAACTAAAACAAATAGGGTAGATAGCAAGTAGTTGGATAGTACATGTATGTACGTATTCATGTTTTTGTTTGTACTCATAGGAACCACATATAGCTGGCCATACAACGTAATGCCATAGCGATTTGAACGGTTTCAAACTGACTGGCAGTTACATATGTATGTAAATATATACCACCTATCTAGATATATGTCTAATATTGTTTCGGGACACACCTTTCAACGGAGTTGACTTGCCAAGAACTAGCAGCCAATCGAAGTCAAGACTTTAAAGCCACACGCCATCAAATGCCATACACTCTGTTCAGTGCCGCCAGCATTATCATTTGTAAAATCAAGCGCCACTCGCGTCATAATAACAATAAAATGGCAACACGACTCGCCCGCCGGCTTTATCAAACAAAGGAAGTCGCCAATGGCGGGTAAAGCAACCCTTGCATTTTTGAAGCACTACGTCTGCCACTGGCTCAAGCTGTCTTTCGCAAATGCATATTTATGAACACTGTAATGTGTATGACTGCAAGTTGTGTGCTTATTTGCTACATATAAATAGCTCCAATCACGCAATATGGTTATTAAATCCTTGTTGCACATTCGTTGACTCAACCTTCGAGCAATGCATCAGGTTTATCCACATGTCGCCTGCTTTATTCACATTCATTTCATTAAAGCAGTCATGCCCAACACAGGGCACTTGCTTATGGAATTCTGTCAGCACAGGGCACTTGCTTTTGGAATTCTATTCTGCCAACGTTGGGCATGACTGCATTAAAGCAACATTTAAATGTATTACAAATGCACACACACACATATATACTTGCACCACTGCAGCAAGGTATGCAACGATATCTGTATGGAATGCATGTGGTAAAGGGCGGTGCATTGGTTCATGACGGAAAGTGCATAAATATTATTTAAGTGGCAAATAAAAGTTGAACAACTCAACAAATAAAATTGCAACATTTCTTAATTGTGCAACAGCATATTGGCCGCAAGCGTGCCACAGCCATTAACGAAGCACATTGCTATTTTTTTTTGGCATATACCATACTTACATATGTACATCCATATAAGGTGTATGTATGTGCATGTGTATAGTGTAAGTTAAATGTTTAAATGTTTGTATGTAATGCATGAATTTGCTTATGCAAATTAAGTTTGTTGCACTTAACGAAATAAACACTGACACATTAAGGTATTTTGCTACAGCAAAGTGAGTGCCGCAAAATATGCAACGATTACGATTACACGGCATAAGAGAAAAAAGGCGCTGAACAATAAATGCAGTTTGTGAATACAAAAAAAAAGTTCATTATTATTGTAGGGATGTATATGGGGCATTTTATCTCTAGTGACCCAACTTTTGAAATCGATGTCTTCCAATCGGGATGACACGAAAATTTCAACGGGATCGGTCAAACACACTCCGAGTTGGAGGGTCCAGAATTTTGACATTTTGGTCAAACAGTCCTTTTTTTGGGATCCATATTATTAATTACCTATTGTATTTAGAAAATTGTTTCAGGAATGTTTTCGATAGCTTTCCCTTCAGTCTTTACAAATTTTACTTTTTTTAATTAAAATAAATTTTTTTGAATTTATTTTTTAAATAAAAAAAATTTTAATGTTTTTTTTTTTTTCAAAAAGGGGTAAAGTTTTGTTTTTTTTCTGCTCAAAAGAAAGCTAATNTAATGTATTTTTCTTTAAAAGCTTTGTGGTCGCTTATTGGGATGCGACTTGTTTATCTATTAAAATGAGCAAACGCATACTGTATGAGTTCCGCTGCTTCCTGCCAAAACGCGAAATTCCAACTCGGAGCGTGCTTGACCGATCCCGCTGAAATTTTGTGTCATAACTACTATTTATTAGGACTAACCTTGGTCATCCCGATTGGAAGACATCGATTTCAAAAGTTGGGTCAATTGAGGTGAAATATTAAAGCAAGAATATTAAAGGAATAGGATATACATAAAAAATGTATGTA